TGCATAAGGTGCCTGAAGAGGTCAGAAGAGGCAGTCAGATTCCCTGAAAAAGGACTTGCAGGTGGTGGTCCGCCTCCACAATACAGCTGAGAATTGAACCTGGGTCCTCTGGAGGAGCAACAAGTGCTCTTGACTGCTGAGCCATGTCTCCAACCCCTGTAATCTAATGGTGTTAGAGCCCAATATACATGCAGTCGCTAAACGAGCTGTCTGCTGTTCGCCTCCCATAAAACTTTCTACTTAAAAAGAACTGAAATGAAGGATTCATAAATATATTAACTTCTATGATTCAATTTTTTTCTAAACTTCCAGAATGAGATTCTTTTTCTTGTGCCCGTATGATAGCACAGTTAAATATGTAAGAGAAATCTGTCATAATCTGAAAATTTTAGTCTACCAAATGAACTCTGAGAGAAATTTCTTTGAAACAGTGAACAATACAATATACTGTGTTGAAAGTTAGCAAAATATACCCTATAATTAGAGAAACTTAAAGTAATCAAATAATCAGAATTCCTATGCATAATTAATTTGCTTTAATTATGAGAGAGGTTTACTATTTTTTATTTTGCAAACGTGTAGCGTTTTTCATTCTTAGTACGACAAGGCATTGAACACTTGCCAGTGTGGCTCGCCCTTCTTTTCTTAGATGTCTATTACTTCACCTCAATTATGTCGGGGAAACATTATTAATAAAGACCTCAGTTTAAGGGAGAAGAATTTGATTTCTATTCTACAGTGCAGTTAAGTTGTAGGATATTTAGTTATGAAAAAAAAATCCTGTAAATGTACTGGAACAAATGTCATCAATAAAAATCGCCGAACAGCACACCAGGTTTCCAGCGAGATCAGAGCATCATATCACTCTCACAAATCTTTATGGTGATGGATTTGAAAAATTAATTTTCATTTTCAAAGAAGAGTGAATGTTTCGTTTTCTGTGGAAAGCAAGTAATTGGCATTTATTTTTTATTTATGCATTTATTTTGTTTTTGTGTGGTGTATATATGTGTATGTGTTCCTGTGTCTGTGCACACATGCATATAGTTGTGTGTTGGGGGCGGGTGCAGAGGCCAGAGGTTCATGCGGTGTATTTTCCTCTATTGCTCTTCACCTTATCTTTCTAGACAGAGCCTCCTAACTAACCCTGGGCCAGCCAGAAAGCTCCACAGATCTGCTGCCTTCATCTAACTGGTGCTGTGGTTTCAGAGGCATGCTGCCATACCCTGCTTTTTACATGGGTGCTGGGTATTCAAACTCAGGTCCTTATGCTTTCAAGACAAGCACTGTGTTCACTGAACCATCTCCTTAGCCCAGCGATTTAACTGCTAAGATATCTGAATGATAAAAGTCATGATTTGAATTTTTGTCCTGAAACCAATTTCAACATTTATGCAGCCCAATGTAATTTTTATTTGAAAGCTTTTGGCATCTTTGCAGTGGTCCAAAGGCTTGGGATGCATTGATCATGTAGTTATTTTCATTTTTCACACTCATTGGTTTTGTGGCTATTTTCCATCACTGCCTTGTGGGTATTCAGTGGTTGGATCAGGAGCTACCGACTGCTCTAATGAGAATATATTTGTATGGACTTGCTTCTTGGACAACAGTATATAATTTACTGCTCCCAGATGGTAATATTGAATCCATTACTCAATTAGGGAAAGTAAGAGGAAAAATGAGAGTTGTTCATTATTACACAAAGACAACAGTCATAAAATGAGGTGATCCTGGACCAAGCAGATAGGCTGTCACACTCCCCACGGAGGATTTCTAGTGTAGCAGACTGTGTCTCCGAATTTGGGAACATGCTTAACAATAAGTGCCAGGGTTCCTTGGCCTAGTTGATGGCCAAGAATTTAGAACTTTAAAGCTTTTTGGAAATCAAGTATGTATTTTAAGTCTTATTTCTGCACCCTGCCTCCAGACTGAAAAGTGCTACAAGTGACTAAGTTCACAAAGGACCAAAAAACTAGTCTAAAGAATTCTCTAAGTGGCCAAGGAGATACAGCTAGTTTACAGGTCTTTTATGAGTGTGTCAGTAAACATAATGGACTCCCTTTTTAGGAGTTACTGCTTATCAATAACCCTATAAACTGTCTAGCTAGAGCCAAGAAAAGGAAAGAATTTTCAGAAGGAAGCGGTTTCTGGGGAGGCAGGTGAGTGAGCTGCACCTCCCTGTCTTGTGGGTGCACACCAGGTTATGGGCGGCATGTTTCTTTTTTTTATTCTAAATTATTCTTTTGTAGTGAATTTGTTTTCATTTGAGGAAAAACACATTTAAAAACAAAATTATTTTCTTATAAATAAGAGTAATCTGTTACCATGTATCCATTAAATGATTCTCTAAACAAGTATGGTTACAGAAATATAAATGCTTCCTTTTTAATACATGCAGAGCAGCTTTGGTAGCACAGTCATTTGCATACTGTACCTCATTGTGTTAGGAGCTGACCTATTAATGATAAAATGTCTTCTTGATCTGAATATCCTTGGTTATTAAGATATAACGAGCTTTTCCACATGCTGGTTAAATGGGCAACATTATTTAAAACCGGAAATAATGATAACAAGTAAGCATGTAGCAACAGAGTTTTTAAATTGACTAATTTATTTTTCATTTTATGTATATTAGTATTTTGCCTGTATGTATGTAAGTGCAGACCATGAGTGCAATGCCCATGGAGACCAGAGGAGGATGTCAGATCTCTGGAACTAGAGTTATGGACAGTTGTTAGCTATCATGTGGGGGCTGGGAATTGAACCCAGGTCCTCTGCAAGAGAAGATAATGCTCTTAATGGCTGAGCCATCTCTCCAGCCCCACAATATATTTTTTAAATAATATATTTTTATTGAACTTGGTGGCTTTCATGCAATACATTTTAGTCATGTTTAGCCCCCTCTTCCCTATCTGTAACTTCCCCATAGCCCCCACTGCATTTCATGTACTCTGCCATATATGTTAAGGCCTACCAAGTAAGTGTGTGTACCCAGATGCCCCTCAGTGTGAGTTCATCCACTGGACCTGTTCAGCATGTCTAGCATCACTCCCTTAAAGACCAATGCCCTCTCACTCACCAGTGATCAGCTGCCAATAGTTCCTCAGTGAAGTTGCGACCGCCTGCCTATTTCCTCAGTTCTATGCTGGTTTTTATCTGATTGAGTTTGCATGGGTCTTGTGCATGCTGTCACGATTGCTGTAAGTTCATATGAGCAAGGTCCCAGGAGCCTGGAAAATTCTGTCTCCTTATAGTCACGTACCTCTTCCCCTGGCTCTTTCAATCTTTCCACCCTCTCTTACACAATAGGGTTTTTTTTTTTCAAGAGTTAAATTCTTGGTTTAGAGAAGCTTCATGTATTAAGTTTTAGAGTCAGAGAGTCCCAGGTTCAAAAGATTAGATGTTCAATTTATTAACACATCACCAGGAAAATTGCTTAGTATTTTGAGTTCCATTCTTTTACTCTATTATGGGAATTTATATTTACCATTTAGGTACTTGTAGAACTAAGGTTAATATATGGAAAATTCCTGGAAAGTGCTTGAAAATGAGTGATAAATATCTGCTTTTATAAAAGATAGGGTGATCTTGAAAACTTGCCAAAATTTTGAAATTTTCTGACTCCAATTTTTTAATTTCTTCTTCTCTATGCCATAAAAAGTGTCCACATAATGAGGGGTGTCTGTAAGTCGTAAGTTAGTTCTATCAACCTACCTCCACACCTACAATCTAAGGTAGTTCTGATACTGTGCTTCTCATTTTAGGAAAAAGAAATGTATTTAATTACTATTGTGTGTGTGTGTGTGTGTGTGTGTGTTGACAGAAGTGTGTGAGTGCAGGTGCATGCATACCAAGGTGAACATGAGGTCATAGGATAACCTGAGAGAGACTGTTCTTGCCTGTGAATCCTTGGGATGGGATGCAGGTTGTCAGGCTTATGGGACAACATTTTACTCTGAGTCTTCTAGCTGTCCCAGGAGAGGGAAACGTACAAAATCAAAACTAGTTTCTTAGAAGCACAAAGCGTGGATTTTCTTCCCAGTGTTCTGAAACCTGATACGTACCTGGTGAATTTGGTGTAAAAACCAGAAAAGATGGTTAAGAACCTTACCCCAGAGCCTGGAATTGCCTAGTACTAGCTCTCTTGTGATAAATTTAGTGTTGACCGCTGATCAAGGTTTTAGTCATGTATTAAAGAAGGAAAAACAAAGTTAAGAACATCTAATTCACCTGTAATTCCAAATAGGCGAGACATTTAATGCAGAACTGCTCTTAAAAATGGAGTCATAATTGCTGCTGGATGAGGAAGAACTGATTTTCCTAAAACAATGGACTCTAGTAGGCTGACTAGACTCAGCAGATGGACTTGCACTGGGGACAGCTGGGGGCACTGACAACACAGTGGGCAGTAACAGGGATGACAAGAGTATATGAGTTCGGGGGGGCGCACGGACGATGACGACGACGACACGGGGCGGGGGCACGACAATGACGGGGGTGGTGGTGGCTATGGGAGTGTGCCATTTGGGATGGGGGTATAAAGATAATTAAGATTGGGAGGTTCTATATGAAATACACAGACACACAAATCAATAAAAAAATGGAGTCATGAGTTCATACTGAACCGCTGACCTCAAGTCCCTCATGTGTTTTGGATCATTTAAATTCCCTCTTCAAATGGATGTTTTTTTCTTAAACTTATTGGCTCAGCAGGCTTATACTTGGCATACGAATTACTAACGATGCAAAGTTCTGCAGTCTGCCTGCTGTCAATGGGTAAGGGCAGTGACTCTGAAAAGTGCCAGACCAGCATGCAGCAAGAAGCCTACAAATGCCAGGCCCCATGCAGAACACGGGGTATTGACGAAGCTGAAGAGAGGAAATATTCCTGTCTCAGAAACCAAAGCCTTGCGATTATACCATCACCCAGGTTTACTGGCTACTGTCCATGTTCTGCTCCTTCCTCTGCTTTTCACGCCCCTCCTGGTTTCCTTCTCCAGCAGATCATCTTACCTGGGACTTCGAGTCTGGTTTCTGTGGCTGGGAGCCACTTTCTGCAGATGACTCACACTGGGAGGTGGCGAAAGCGGTGGGCAGTGGACAGCACGGTTTCCCGGAAGCTGCTCACACAGGGAATGCAGGCTCAGGTAGGCCATTTTTCCCTTAAAATAGTTCTCTTTCTAAAAAAAATAAAATAGAAGTTCTCTTTCTTTCATGTTGCAGAATAATGATACTGTGTATTTTCTCCTGTACTCATAGACTGTACGAATGGAACTATGGTTTGTCTTGCCTTAATCCTTCCTGACCAGCTTAAAAATAAGTGCTTAATTCAGTGACCCAAAAGGAACGCCCTGCTATAATCAACAATTTGTTATTTTTTAAAACTAAGTTTATTAGTATTTGCAAAAAACTACCATCTACAGAAATGTTCAAATAACCATAAACACAATTTAAAATTCAGATTTCCTGAGCTGGGTATCGTGGTACATGCCTTTAATCCCAGCACTTGGGAGACAGATGCAGGCAGATCTCTGTGAGATTGAGGCCAGCCTGGTCTACATAGCGAGTTCCAGGCCCAGCTAGGGCCACAGGGAGACTGTGTCTCAAAAAAAGACAAAAAATTCAGATTTCCTTGTCAGATAATAGCTTTTCCTAAAATCACATGTGGACATTGCCTATTTAAGGACTTTCTCCACATTGAAAATGTGTTATATCTTGAAAGAACATTCAAAGTACTTATATGAAGTATACTACATATGTGAACTCATTAAAATTACCCTTTCTTATTCTACTTTCTAGATGCTATAGTAAACCCCAGCATGCATATGGTCTCATATGTGCATGTATACATCGTAGGCTGTGATTTTCATGTGAAGGAGAACATAACTTTTCTTTTTCTTTATTAGATTGGGTGATCTTTTTAAATACTTTACATTCTAGGTCCATCAGTTCTCTTGTGAATTTTTTATTGCATTTTAGTAGAGCTAAATAATATTCCATTTTATATATGTACCCGATTTTCAATATCCATTCACTTGTTGATGGACAATTAGGTTGTTTGCAATTCCTTGCTATAAGCGATGAGAACAGCAATAAACATGGGGTGCAAATATTTCCATGGTAAGGTATGTTAGAAGGTTGGGTTGACGCCTAAGGAGGGAGATAACAGTACAATAGTCCTGCCTTCTTTTTTAAGCGTTTTAAAATTTACAAAATTGAAAGAAAAATAGTCTAAACTTCTTTCTGGAAACAGAGGACAAAGAGCTTGGCACCACCTCCAAAAACCTGAAAATACTTTAGCCTTCTTTACAACAAACACTTGTACTTCTCATACATATTTTGAGCCATCATCACAGCTTTTATGTGTCCTTTTAAAATTGAGGAGCCATAACTGCATGTGGTGCTCTGAACATGCTTTATGAGACTCCGAGGCAAGCACAAAGCTTTGCTCTCTAATTGTCCTTTGCTTTGGTTACATTTATGAGGTGTTGTGCATATAACCTAGTGTCACATGAACTTTGTAATCACACAGCTGCAGTTTAGACCCTCTTTTAATCTCATCCTGCTTCTCTTTTGAGAATTCTCAAGACGTTTGACAAACATTAATCTTGCCTGTATTTTTAAATTTCGTTTCCTTTTTAATTTTTATTTTATATGTATGACTACATTAGTCTTCATGTATGTAGTGTACCATATGTGTGCAATGCCTGCAGAGGCCAGAAGATGGTGTTAAAATGTATCAAATGTTTTGGCTTCTGTTGTGCTAGTCATGTGGCCATCAGATCAATCTTTTGGTTATAGTGGAGATTGATTTTTGAAATATTGTACCAACTTTACCCATTCCTGAACCAACTGTATTAAGGTTGATGCGGTTTCATCTACTGTATATTTATGTAGCAGCATGTTTGCTTATGATTTTTCTGCCTATATTCACTAAGAGACTGGTATTAACATTCTTAGAACAGGTACAGTATAACTTTCAGGCCATTGCCTGTATGGTTTCCAGGTGAGGTGAGATGGATATGGCCATTTTTACCCTTTTTTGGCTAAACATGTGAAGGCATCTATACAATAGCACATTTTGAATATGAAATCCTTTCCTTTGGGGCAGTCAGCATTGACAAGCATCCAAGAAAATTACTACCCGAAGATGGTATTTTTCAGGCAAAACAGTTGGCTTTCTAAATTTCCCGTCACTTTGTGATTACCAAAGGGCAGGATCAGACTTCAACGTTGTTCAGCACAGCTCTCCTTGTAAGTTTTCTGTATTCAAAGCTACCCCTGATGGCAGCTCAGAGTGTGGGATCTTCTGAGCTGCTGAGAGATGCCATCCCCTATGCATTTGCTGTGAGTGCATCCGCTGCAGTTAAAATCTAAAAGCAGTTATTTTGTTAATGTTCAGATTAGATCTTTAATTAAGCTTTCTTCCCCTCCAGCACAGACAACAATGTCAAACATGTAAGCCCCAAGAGGAACCAACTCATTGCATAGGCTCTGCTCCTTCAGTACTCTGTGAAGAGACTTCCAAATAAAACTCTGGAGGGAATTTCCTGAGGGCATGTTGAATATCTAATTGTAAACTTAGAAGATTCATTTAATTTGATTTCAAACTCTGTGACATGAGTTAAAGCAATAAAAAAATGTTTGTTTAGGCAATTTGGACTGAGAGTTTGTTTTTAATCAATTAAATTTTATTTTAGACATTTAATGTCATACATCTGAAATGCACTGATTATTTACAGAGCTCAATGGTATATGCGGAAACTGTCATTTTTCTTCATCTGACTGACAGTTGGGTGTGGGCAAGGAGGCAAGGATAAGATGTGAGAGCAGAGAAGCATTAATTGGATGACAGGATTGGTATCCATGAGACTTTGTTTCCTTTCGCAGAGTCATTTCTTTATTTCGGGCCACAGCCGTCCCCTGGGGTAGCCAGGCTTGGAAGTCCTGTTCTCAAGAAATTGCACACCAGCTCTGCTCCATGTCAGGTAATCAGTTTTTTTGGATTTTCATTGCTCTACCTGTGGTTATCAAGAACTGAGCTCAAATTGCATTGTTAGTAAAAACCCAACATGTTTTATTGCCATTTTCATGATGTATTAAGGGATTTATGTGCACAAGTTCAGCATGAAATGGCATGTCCTTCCAGAAGATTGTTTACAACACATTACCTCCACTGTCCTTTGGGGGGCCTATTAGAGCATTCACTGTTTTACATTCTGTTCACATGTTCCTGTCTGTGGATACATGTTGCCTAATTTAATTGAGTAGGATAAAGTCAGTTAAATAAGTGCTTGTTGAGAGCAAGGCAAAAAGAATGAGAAAAAGATGTGTATAGACAGAAAAAATACTTATATTTATTGAAATTTTATTTTGAGTTAGTTTGATAATGCCAACTAAACACATAGCAAGCGGTAAGCTTTTTACTCCTCTTCAGACAATAGAGAGGAAAGCAGATTACACGGGGCAGCATGAATTAGAATCTCACTTTTGCCACTTCCAGTTGTGGTACACACTGCTTGATTATTACTTTTGAGATAGTGTCCCTAAGGAAATAATAAGCATTAATGTACATCCCTCACATGGCTGTAAGGATGAAACTTCAATTAAATAATACCCTGGCAAAATACTCGGCATATAGTAGGAGGTATAATACTTAAGCTTCATTGTCGACCTGACAGGATTAAGAATCACCATGGCAATGATGATGTTTCTAAAAAAGCTCAACAGAGAAGACCCACCCTGAATGTAGGCAAAACCATCCCATACACTGGGGTTCCCAGTTGAATGAAAAGGAGAAAACAAACTGATCACCAACATTGATCTCTGTTTCCTGGCTCCACATGCGGTATCACCAGCTGTCTCCTGCTCTGCTTTGCCTACTCTGCCTTGATGAACTGCAGCCCTAAACCAAAATAACTACCTCCCTCTTAAAGTTACTTTTATCATGTAATTTGTTACAGCCATGAAAAAAGTAATACTGAAAATTAATACCAAGAAACGGGGCCATATGGTTCTTATTGGCATGTGGGGAAAATGTGCAAACTTTTGGTGTTGCCAGCTAGGGAAGCGCTATAGTATTTTAAGTAGAAACTTATGGATCATTCTAGTGTTAGTTTGGACAATAGAGACTTGGATCATGAGGCTTAAGAGGGGGGACAAAGACTGCAAGGAGAGGTCGGCTGGGAACATTTGGTATTGTGTCCTGAGAAAGAGCACCGCTGCGTTCTGTCATGTTGTGTCCTGAGAACTTGCATGAAGCTGACTTTTACAATATTGGGCTAATTTGGGACAGAAAATTCCATGACAGAATAGCATCGAGGCTATGCTATGTTTGCTGCTCACTGCTCTAAGCCAGATCTACAGTGAGAGAGCAGAAAGATAAGAAATGTGCAATTTGGAGACGAAAGCAGGGTGAGCAGGTTTGAAGTTGGAGATAAGGTGAGTGCTGGAAAGAAACTTTAATTGTTAAGGAGGTTAGTACCATTCAAGAGAAATCAAGTGCTCTGAGTAGGTAGAATAGGAAGGGTTTCCAGGAGTCAAGCCTCCAGATTGTGAAAAATACAAATTAATTAGGAAGGAGAGAACAGAAACTGAGGATGCTACTGAAGGGATTCTCTGCTGAAAAAAAAAAAAAAAAAAAAAAAGACTGCATAAGAAAGTGCTTTCACAGACTCATTCACTGTGGCCGCAGAGGCTACTCTGACGATAATAAAGGGAGCAGACTCTAACTCAAGGTGGCAGCAGAAGCTGGCACATCATCTGAGTGGTGCTGGTTTTACATTCACACACAGGTGCAAGAGTGAGGGGGGTCATAGAGGCTTACCCTAAGGTTCCAAAAAGCTACAGAGGACAAGCAATGTATACAAGCTCATATTCCCTGCAAAGAAACCCCAAGAGGCCATTGCATGGAGCTAAGAACAAAGCCCAAGTTTGCAAATGAGACTTCAGGTTGTTGGAGATACCAGGATCATGGGATGTCCATTGAGGAAACTGCAGGCATGGCATAAACTTATCCCCAAAGAGAAGCTGTGTATGCTACAGACAACAGAACTGGATGAATGGGGCTACTCAGGGCTGTTGGAGCCCAGATGATTCCATCATGAGACCCAGATGCTACACATGGAAGTGTAGAACTTGGTGTTTGCCTTGCTCAATTTTTGTCTTGTCTTTTTTTTTTTTTTTTCTGATTTTTCCTTGCTGTGACTTCATTTCTGTATTTTGGAATGGTAACATTTGCTATCTGCTATTTTGTGTTGGGAGTATGAATTCATTCTTATTCTTTTTATTCTATAGGGTCTCATAGTTAAGAGATTACCTTGGGTCTTAGAAGATATTTTGAACTTTTGACTTCCGAGCAATGTTAGGACTCTTAAGAACTATGGAGATGGAGACATTTAGAGATAGTCTAAATTTATTTTGCAACACAAGTTGAAAAAAATGATACTTTAGGGGTCAGGGGTGGAATTTCATGGTTTAAGTGATGTGTTTTGGTATGAAGTTGGCAAGGTTTGGAATTTCAATGGTTCATCTTCACTATTAACTTGATGGATTTTGGAGCACCATGCAAACAGAGCTCTGGATGTGTCTGTAGGTATGTCCTCAGAAAGGTTTTACAGAATGAGGACTGATCCACCCTGAATGTGGACAGTGCCACCAGTGGGCTGGGGTCCCAGACTTAAAGGAATGAGTGCAAACTGAGCAGTAGCACTCATCTCTGTCCTGCTTTCTGACTGCCCCTGGAACAGATGCCTCACATTCTTGTCACCATGACTCCCTGCCATGATTGACTGTAGCCTTAAACCATGAGGCTTAAATCAAGTAGACTCTACATGCTTTTGTCATGTATTTCATCACAATGAGAAAAGTAAGTACTGCAATAGCTGTTCACAAAACAGCCTGTTTATTTTCTGTAATACCAACACTCACATCAGATATTTCTGTTCATCTCACCTTATTTTCAGGCCTTTGCAGAAGCTCAGCATTCCTCTAAGTCTTAAGATTTCAGTTCATTTTTAAAATCTTTACTTACCAGAAAATAATGAATAGATCAATACTGGTGCACAGAAAATTCATGGCCTCTAAATATAGGGCTACAGCAGTTTACTCAGGCATCCTTGATGATAAATTACTTTTCATTCAGAGGTGTAAACCTAATTAGGCTTTCAGTTTGGTGTAAGTCCCAGTAGAAGTGCCTGGGGCTCCTTATATGTCATCCTTATTTTTTTTTTAACCTTTGTTTTTCTCCCCTCATTTCTTTGTGGGAACGAAGATTAAAACCAATGCTTATCTCCATTTCCACCTTATCCAAATGCCCTCAACATATTTCCACCTTTCCTTTAATTAAACCCTATGTGACAAAAAGAAAGATATAGATTTTTTGGGAACCCCGAAGCACTTCTCTGCACTTTAAAGAGTACTTTACAAGTTAACTTAGCTTTCATTCAAGGTCATATACTGAGTTATATGCACACAAGTCATTGAATGCAAGGGAACAGAATGTGTTGATTTTTGTCTTCATTTCTTGCATTTGGAAACAAGTACTGAAAGTTTATTCAACATTGTTTGAACTGGCTGTCACTGCAATCACACACACACACACACACACACACACACACACACACACACTTTATGAAGATGATCTGTGTCCCACTATTGTATGCTTGTTGATGGCCATTATTTGTTTTTGGTTGTAGGGATTTCAGATGCCATCAATTATTTTTGGAGATGCTTTGCTGTGTTTTGCTTAAGTTTAGCTTTGCTGTGGGGAATATTTAAATGGATCTCCGTGAGAACATCTTTCTGGGCACTTCAGGTGCTTAATACCTGACCTCAGAAGCAAAGATTCATTCTCCAAAGTCTTCAAGTCTTAACTTCATGGACTGCCCTATTTTTGTGAAAACAAAGAATGCTTCAAGGGCCCACTATGGACTTCCAGAAGCGTTCACTTTTCCTTTTTGTCTGCATCTGCTTCAATTTTCACAATCTTTGAGCTGGACAGATGTTTAGGTTACTTAATAAAACTTCTAGCCTAGTAACTGGAGGCTAAGGGGAGGCCCTTGAGAGCCAGAAATACAAATAGCTAATGTTCTTCCTCAAAGGATTTTTCTCGGAATATAATGTGACCTTATTTATAAATTTGTGATAATATATGATATATTCATGAAAGTTACAGAATAAGCAAACAAACTGAATTCTTATCTTTTTAGGTAATTGGAGAATTTAGCTGATTTTCTGATTCAGAACATAGTGATAATAGTTCTTTTATGGAACAAATGTTCTTCATTCTAAAATAATAAAGGAGAACAGTGAAGTGACCCATGTTGGGCACTTTTATATGATTAAAACCTTCATTTTATGAAATTATGTGATTGCCCCTGAACAGTCATATCAACCTAATATTGTTAGGCTGATTTTTTTGAAAGGACTTTAAAGGAACATGAGCCTTTTTTCTGAGTCACCTTTTCTAACAGCACAGGTTAGGGTCATTTTACATGAATTACCTCGTACATTATGTATGGTCAACACATGGCATCAACATGTACAGCTGTCCTTGCAGCTCATCCTTGTTCACAATGTGGACTTTAATTTAGAAGTTTCAAAAACCCCTTCAGCAACTGGTGGACACCTGGTACATTTCCTTGAAATAGGATGAAGATGAACCGAGCACATGTGGACCTGGATCTATTAATTCTCATTGATACTGAAATGCAGTTACCAGTTATAAGAAATGTAAAATATGAGGGGCTGAAGAGATGGCTCAGTGATTAAGATAACTGTCTTCTCCTGCAGAGGACCCAGGTTCAATTCCCAGCACCCATATCACATCTAACAACCATCTGTAACTCCAGTTCCTGGGAATCTGACACCTTCTTCTGGTCGCCACATGGTGCGCTTACATACAAACAGGCAAAACACTGATGCACGTAAAATAAAAAAGTATGAAATATAAAGGATGTTAATATGGGTCTTAATATCTTCTGAGTTA